TGAAGGGGTTGCCTTCAATAACAAGAGTTGGATTGAGTGTGAAGAGCTGTCTCTGAAACGCAGCCATGAGCAGGTTGAAAGTCTGTGGACAAGAACCAGAGACTGAGGTAACAAAGGGAACTCCTAGCTGGTGCCTACTACAGACCACCTGATCAAGTGGAGCCTATGGAAAAAACCTTCTTGCTCCAGCTACTGGAGGAATTGCGCTTACAGGCTCTTGTTCTGCTGGGGCACTTCAACCACCCTCATGTCTGATCAAAAAAGTAGCACGGTGAGGTGTAAGCAATCCAGGAGACTCCTGGAATGCATAGAGGGTAATCTCTTGAGCCAGCCAATAGATAGCTCTATCAGAGAGGATGCAATACTGGATCTGATGGTTACCAATCCGAGTGAGGTAATAAGCAACCTGGGCTGCAGTGATCATGCATCGGTAGAGTTCACAGTCCTGAGGGTTATTGGTCAGGCAAAGAGTAAAGTCAGGACCCTGAATTTTAGGAAAGCAAACCTGCAGCTCTTCAAGGAGTTAGTCAGTAGAACCCTGTCAGGAAACTGCCTTCAGGGACAAGGGAGAAGAACAGAGATGACAGATCTTTAAGGATGCCTATCACAACTGCAAAAGCTAGTGATCCTCAGGTGCAAGAAATCAGGCAAGGAAGGCAAGAGACTGGCAGGTTGAGTTGGGACCTGATGGTCAAAAGAAAGGGCAAGAAGCAAATGCAGAGGCAGTGGAAGCAGCGACAGGTATCCTGGGAGGAGTGTAGGGATGAAGTCTGGTTATGTAGGGATGGGTTCAGAAAAGTGAAAGCACAGCTGGAGATGAACTTGGCAAGAAATGCAAAGAATAACAAGAAGGACTTCTGCGGGTATGTTAGCCAGAAAAGGGAAGTCAAAAAACCTGCACCTGCCCTGATAAGCAAGGCAGGCAAACTGGTAACAATGGACAACGAGAAGGCTGAGGTACTCAACTACCTTTTTGCCTCAGTCTTCAATGGCAACCTCTTTTCCCTCACCTCCTGAGTGGGTGGACTCCAAGATGGGGACTGTGGGAGCCAAGTCCCTCCCACTGTATGAGAACAGGAAGTTCACAACCACTGGAGGAACTTGAGCATATATTTATCTATGAGACCTGATGAGATAGTTCCCAGAATCATGAAGAAATTGGTTGATGTAGTTGCCACGCCACTCTCCAGCCATTTGAAAAATCATGGCAGTCAGATGAAGTCTCAGGGGGATGGAAAAAGGGAAACGTTGCACCCCACCCATCTTTAAAAAGGGCAGAAAGGAGAACCCTGGGAACTACTGACCTGTCAGCCTCACCTCTGTGCCTGAGAAGATCATGGAACTGATCCTCCTAGAAGCTATGGAGGACAGGGAGTTGATCTGGGATAGCCAGCACAGCTTCACCAAGGACAAGTCCTGCCTGACCAACGTAGTTGCCTTCTACAATGGAGGGATGACATCAGTGGACATAGGAAGGACTACAGATATCGTCTCGACTTCTGTAAGGCCTTTGATGTTGTCCCCCAAAACATCCTTCTCTCTAAATTACAGAGAGATAGGTCTGATGGGTGGACTGCTAGGTGGGTGAGGAATTGGTTGCACCCATGGTGACAAGTGGTGTCCCTCAGGGTTCATACTGGGACTAGTGCTATTTAATGACACAGACACATCAATGACACAGAGAAAGGGACTGAGGGCACCCTCATCGAGTTTGCAGATGACACCAAGCTGAGTAGTGTGGGTGACATGCCTGAGGAATGGGATTGTCATTCAGAGGGAGCTGGACAAGCACAAGTGGGAACCTCATGAGGTTCAATAAGACCAAGTGCAAAGTCCTGCATGTGGGTTGGGGCAACCCCTGGTACCAATACAGGCTGGAGGACGAAGGGTTGAGAGCAGCCCTGCTGAGAACAACTTGGGGGTACTGGTGGGTGAGAGGCTGGACATTAGCTGGCAATGTGTGCTTGCAGCCCAGAAAGCCAACTGTGTCCTGGGCTGCATCAAAACAATTACAGCCAGCAGGCTGAGAGAGGGAATTTCTGCCCCTCTGCTCCTGTGAGACCCCACCTGGAGTAATTTATCAAGCTCTGGGACCCTCAGTCTAGGAAGAATGTGGACCCGCTGCAGTGAGTCAAGAGGAGGGCCACAAAGATGGTCAGAGGTCTGAACACCTCTCCTATGAAAACAGATGGTGAGAGATGCAGTTGTTCAGTCTGGAGAAGAGATGGCTCTGGGGAGAAAGGGACTAGTAAGAGTGATGGGGACAAATATTTTAGCAGGGTCTCTTGCAATAGGCCAAGTCATAATGAAATTAAAGACAGTTGATTCAGATTAAATACAAGGAAGAACTTCTTTTACAATTAGAGTGGTAAAGCCCTGGAGCAGTTTGCCCAGAAAGGTGGTAGATGCCCCATCCGTGGAAACATTAGTGATCAGGTTGGACAGGGATCGGAGCAACCTGATCAAGTTGAAGATGCCCCTGCTCATCGCATGGGGGGTTGGACTAGATGACCTTTAAAAGGTCCCTTCCAACTCAAACTATTCTGTGAACTGATCCTTCTATGAAATAGAGGGATCCTGCCTTGTCTACTGGGTCTCACGCAACTGGCCAGAAATCCACAAGGAACAGAGGAAGATCCTGGCTTTATCCCACGTGCTAAATCTCTCAGAAAAAAACCCTCCACATCATCAGATATGGACTAGACTGATTTTTCCAAAATTACAAACATCAGTTACCATCATTCATTTGATTTCCAGTGGGTTGTTCATTACACTGGCAACAAAGTACGAACTGGCTTTTTATCCACTGCCTTGTCCCTACAGATTAGAAGATCTCCTCATATTATTCAGTGAAAGCTCCTCTGCTCTATCAACATGTCACAGGATGGGCTGTCACTGGTGAACATGGTGGAATTTACGGGTTTATAGTTTTAGGACTGACCTGTTTAAACCTGAGTTGCTTTTCCACTTGCCCCTCAATCGGAGCATGATTCTCCCTAGTGAATCCTTGTCCCGTCGTGCCATGGCACAGCATCTTCCATGGTGATTACTCAGGTGGTCCACACAACTTCAACAACTGTGGTAGTTTTAATCTAGGCCTTCCTCGGTGACCAGTTTGTCACCAAGGAAGTGGCCATGCTCCTAGTATGCCATACCATTTTTACATAAGTCAGGGTATAAATAAGAAGGGAGGAGAGGCCTTTGCTCTCTTCCCTTCTGGCGAGGTTTGGAGACAGCAGATCCCCAGAGCTGGTCCCACTTCTGTGGGGGGGCTGGGGCCCAACTCAGCCTACTGGGCCTGCTGTTTTCTGCTGATCCCAAGTCTGGTAGTGTGGCGGCAGCGTTTAGTGTGATTGTGCTATCTCAAGGAAAGTATTAAAGGTTTTTCTTTGGCTAGTCCTTTATGGAGTGTGTATACCTGCTATCGGGTTTGGTTTTTTTTTGTTTTATCCCTTTTGCCTTTCCCCTTTTCTGTTTTTTTGGGTGTTGGGTTTTTGTTGTTGAGGTTTTTTTTAATGTGTATATAGTTTTTGTAAATTGTATATAAATGTAATATAAGTGTAAATATATATTTTTATATATATATTGCTTTAGCTCTCTCTCTCTTATTTTGGTTCTCTTGGTTTTTTCTCTTCTCCCTTGGTTTTTAGTTTTGGTGGGGGGGGAGCTCTTGTGGTGGGGTTTGAAGACTTGGCAGGGAGCCAGCTCCAAACCATCACAACAACCTACAGCATATCCCTTTGCAAACTGCAGCCAACAGAAGCTACACACAATCTTCTTAAAGGTACCATATGTTCAGTCTTCGCTAAAAACCAGGACACTGGTGGTGGTTCGGACCTGGCTCCGTGCCAAATGCCCAAACTCACAGTAACAACCCCTTCCCTCTCCCTTCTTCCCTTAGGGCAAAGGAAAAAACACTATAAAAATTAAAGAACCTGAAATCAATCTAGTTGTATAAAAGTATATATTTTACATATATTACAGTTATATACAATTAAAATGTCATGTACACAGTGAAGGGAATCCAAACACCCCCTGAAGGGAAAGAGAAAGGGGAAAAAGGGACAAAAAGGGACACAGAACAGATATACACAATCAAACCCAAGAACTACCAAAATAAAGAACTAGTAAAACAAATCTCACCACATCCCCCAGAAAAGCAAGATCACCAGACACGGCCAGCACTCTCCAACCTCCTGCATGGCAGACCAGTGGTTGCTGCAGGCCTCAGCCTTACATAAGCAAGACCAACACAAGGACCCACCGCTCCTGAACCTCGCTGGAAGAGAGCAAGGTCTCTAATCTCCACCTTTTTTATACTCTGGTTTATGTAAAAATCGTATGGAATTCTGGATACATGGCTCCTTCCTTGGTTACGAGCTGGTTACCAGGAAGGCCTAGACCAAAACCATTACACACTGAGAAAAGAAGACTCTGAACAGAAAATGTGAGCCAGTTTGTCTTCCCCAAGGATTTCTCATGGTGCATTAGGAACCTAAGAAGACTTTGTCTCCTGAAGGGTTAGGAGTCACTGCAGTCTGAGACAGTTCTGACTTCTTGTAATTTTTCTGGAATACATCCAGATCTGAACCTCTCAGGCAAAAATTGTCTTGTAGCTTAGTGCTGGGTTGAGTTGCAGCCTCAGGGAAAGCAGGCAGGCAATGCAAACCAGTGGGAGCTACTCTTCCCTGCTGTCAGCATATCCTGACAAACATGTAATGTAGTCCATTAAGCTGATGCAGTGGTCAGTGTTTATAATAATTTTAATACATTCAGTAAACAAGTAACACAAAAAAGAAAATTAACAACATTAAGGTGGTAGTCAAGAACACACAAAGATAAGAAAATACAAATCCAACCTATGCGTTTTGTTCTGTTCTTTTTCTTGCCTGGGTTTTCTGAAGCCTTTGTTTCCCTGATGCATTTACTTTTCTCTCCTTTATTTTCTTCATGTCCTATACTCCCTGACAGTAACTGCATTTGAATCTGCATATAATAAATATATAATATTTTCCGTTTAACTTATTCACGGGCAGTCTTTATCACTTCTAAACCTAGTCTCTTGCTTTTCAGACGTGGTATTGTGAGGTGATCTGTTGCTGGATTTCGTATTGTGGGATGATGTGTCAAATTTTCCAAAAAATGTTAAAAACACTGGAATGAAAACAAGACCATGAAGAGCACCAAACAAAATGACAAGAAACATGATCTTGAAAAAGGTCCTAAAGATGTAGGTTTTTGCTGCAGCCAGGACAACGACTCCTAATATAGTAGAAACTGCACCTTGTAATACCGGGTAGCCAAGCAGGGACAGAGCTTCGATTGCCCTTTTATTGGCTGATGACTCTCCACTTGTAACAAAGGCATAGGAAATATGAGCAGAAAAATCTACCGAAAACCCGATACAAATGACCAGGTTGATCATGGATATGGAATCAAGATTGACGTTCCAAAAAGACATGAAACCGGCAACACCAACTATAACAGAAGCTATAGCAAAAGTCACCCACAGGCAACACAGCGGGTTGGGAATGAGCAGAAGAGAGACAACGAGCATTGCCCCGGCAGCAACGACAACGTTCTGAACGGTGTTCTGCACTATTACCAGGTACTGGTCGTAGTAGATGAACGCTGGGTGATACACCTTCAGTGGAATACTGCACTGCCTGGCTGTCTCTCTTAACTGATTGAGAAGATTCTTCTCAGCAACCGCCGTGGTCACGTTCACTGTCTGGATAAAGAAACGCGAAGCTTCTATTTCATCCCGAGTCTTGTTCATGTCCCACGCAAAGTTGCTTTCATATTGGAACAGTACAAGTAGGTTATTAAAGAACTGAGTCTTAGTGTTTATATTTATGTGACTCCTTTCAGCGAGTACTGTGTATACTCTCAGCCATGACTCTGACAGGGTCTTATCTATGTAGGAAATGCTCTCTAAATTCTGTGCACACTCCTCAATGCCTTGACGAACCGTCTCATTCCAGTAATCTACCCTTTCAGTAATGACAACCATGACCCTGGGTCCATATGTCGAGAAGTATTCCTCATCATCATCATAGTATGGAATAACATATGAGTCATCATTAGCCAGATTTCGAAGATCAATGCCTTCCCTGATCTGAGTACACCCGTAAACACTGCCACCCAAATATGCCCCGTACAGCAACACCACGAGTAGCTTGATCCATTTATTTGTAAAAAAAGGCCCGTAATACTCTTTAAAGAATATGCTCATTGGATGTT